ACCCCTACCCCCACCCTTTTGTGATTTTTTTGGTGAATGGTCGGAATCATTCGAGCCTCACCCTCACGTGCGATGGGGAGTTTCGACCTCTCACGACGGGCGAAGCCGGGGTCATTCCCAAGAATCGGCATCCCCTTCACGATATGGAGAATATCACATGTTTTGACATATTCGATGTCTCGAACAATCGAATGTCTGCAACAATCACGATATGGAGAACATCACATGTTTCGACATATTCGATGTCTGCAACAATCACGACTCCGACATGATGATCTCCATCACCGAGTGAGCCATCTCGATATACATATATTTGTGAGATCGACCATGGAACAAAGCTCTTCCCCCCAAGAATTACAAATTTTTTACATAAATTTAAAATGATATTTATATTTATATTTATATTTACATAGATTTAGATTAAGATTAAGATTTGGATGGAAGGATGGATAGATATTTTTATATATATTTATTGAATATTGAATATTGAATATTAAATATTAAATATTCTTGTGTTAAAAATAGATAAATGAATAAATACGAAATTTTAATATTTATCTCCATTCTTTTTGAGGAAAAATAAAAGGAAAATAAATAAAATAACAATTGATGTTTTCGGGTCATACGGGCTCCGAGGGAACGACACGTGGCACGTTCCCGCCGTATTAAAACCATAAGGGAAGCGACGGAGGGATTTTGATGCATATATATGGCAAGTGCGTGAGTGCATGTTGGGGGTGCCGGGGTGGGATCACCCTCGGGGTTGACACATTGTCACCCTACCACCACTACAAATATGTAGTGGTGGTTAAATAAACAGTCACCCAACCCGGTATACGGTGGATGGGAACGATCCCACCCCCATCACCCCTACCCCCACCCTTTTGTGATTTTTTTGGTGAATGGTCGGAATCATTCGAGCCTCACCCTCACGTGCGATGGGGAGTTTCGACCTCTCACGACGGGCGAAGCCGGGGTCATTCCCAAGAATCGGCATCCCCTTCACGATATGGAGAATATCACATGTTTTGACATATTCGATGTCTCGAACAATCGAATGTCTGCAACAATCACGATATGGAGAACATCACATGTTTCGACATATTCGATGTCTGCAACAATCACGACTCCGACATGATGATCTCCATCACCGAGTGAGCCATCTCGATATACATATATTTGTGAGATCGACCATGGAACAAAGCTCTTCCCCCCAAGAATTACAAATTTTTTACATAAATTTAAAATGATATTTATATTTATATTTATATTTACATAGATTTAGATTAAGATTAAGATTTGGATGGAAGGATGGATAGATATTTTTATATATATTTATTGAATATTGAATATTGAATATTAAATATTAAATATTCTTGTGTTAAAAATAGATAAATGAATAAATACGAAATTTTAATATTTATCTCCATTCTTTTTGAGGAAAAATAAAAGGAAAATAAATAAAATAACAATTGATGTTTTCGGGTCATACGGGCTCCGAGGGAACGACACGTGGCACGTTCCCGCCGTATTAAAACCATAAGGGAAGCGACGGAGGGATTTTGATGCATATATATGGCAAGTGCGTGAGTGCATGTTGGGGGTGCCGGGGTGGGATCACCCTCGGGGTTGACACATTGTCACCCTACCACCACTACAAATATGTAGTGGTGGTTAAATAAACAGTCACCCAACCCGGTATACGGTGGATGGGAACGATCCCACCCCCATCACCCCTACCCCCACCCTTTTGTGATTTTTTTGGTGAATGGTCGGAATCATTCGAGCCTCACCCTCACGTGCGATGGGGAGTTTCGACCTCTCACGACGGGCGAAGCCGGGGTCATTCCCAAGAATCGGCATCCCCTTCACGATATGGAGAATATCACATGTTTTGACATATTCGATGTCTCGAACAATCGAATGTCTGCAACAATCACGATATGGAGAACATCACATGTTTCGACATATTCGATGTCTGCAACAATCACGACTCCGACATGATGATCTCCATCACCGAGTGAGCCATCTCGATATACATATATTTGTGAGATCGACCATGGAACAAAGCTCTTCCCCCCAAGAATTACAAATTTTTTACATAAATTTAAAATGATATTTATATTTATATTTATATTTACATAGATTTAGATTAAGATTAAGATTTGGATGGAAGGATGGATAGATATTTTTATATATATTTATTGAATATTGAATATTGAATATTAAATATTAAATATTCTTGTGTTAAAAATAGATAAATGAATAAATACGAAATTTTAATATTTATCTCCATTCTTTTTGAGGAAAAATAAAAGGAAAATAAATAAAATAACAATTGATGTTTTCGGGTCATACGGGCTCCGAGGGAACGACACGTGGCACGTTCCCGCCGTATTAAAACCATAAGGGAAGCGACGGAGGGATTTTGATGCATATATATGGCAAGTGCGTGAGTGCATGTTGGGGGTGCCGGGGTGGGATCACCCTCGGGGTTGACACATTGTCACCCTACCACCACTACAAATATGTAGTGGTGGTTAAATAAACAGTCACCCAACCCGGTATACGGTGGATGGGAACGATCCCACCCCCATCACCCCTACCCCCACCCTTTTGTGATTTTTTTGGTGAATGGTCGGAATCATTCGAGCCTCACCCTCACGTGCGATGGGGAGTTTCGACCTCTCACGACGGGCGAAGCCGGGGTCATTCCCAAGAATCGGCATCCCCTTCACGATATGGAGAATATCACATGTTTTGACATATTCGATGTCTCGAACAATCGAATGTCTGCAACAATCACGATATGGAGAACATCACATGTTTCGACATATTCGATGTCTGCAACAATCACGACTCCGACATGATGATCTCCATCACCGAGTGAGCCATCTCGATATACATATATTTGTGAGATCGACCATGGAACAAAGCTCTTCCCCCCAAGAATTACAAATTTTTTACATAAATTTAAAATGATATTTATATTTATATTTATATTTACATAGATTTAGATTAAGATTAAGATTTGGATGGAAGGATGGATAGATATTTTTATATATATTTATTGAATATTGAATATTGAATATTAAATATTAAATATTCTTGTGTTAAAAATAGATAAATGAATAAATACGAAATTTTAATATTTATCTCCATTCTTTTTGAGGAAAAATAAAAGGAAAATAAATAAAATAACAATTGATGTTTTCGGGTCATACGGGCTCCGAGGGAACGACACGTGGCACGTTCCCGCCGTATTAAAACCATAAGGGAAGCGACGGAGGGATTTTGATGCATATATATGGCAAGTGCGTGAGTGCATGTTGGGGGTGCCGGGGTGGGATCACCCTCGGGGTTGACACATTGTCACCCTACCACCACTACAAATATGTAGTGGTGGTTAAATAAACAGTCACCCAACCCGGTATACGGTGGATGGGAACGATCCCACCCCCATCACCCCTACCCCCACCCTTTTGTGATTTTTTTGGTGAATGGTCGGAATCATTCGAGCCTCACCCTCACGTGCGATGGGGAGTTTCGACCTCTCACGACGGGCGAAGCCGGGGTCATTCCCAAGAATCGGCATCCCCTTCACGATATGGAGAATATCACATGTTTTGACATATTCGATGTCTCGAACAATCGAATGTCTGCAACAATCACGATATGGAGAACATCACATGTTTCGACATATTCGATGTCTGCAACAATCACGACTCCGACATGATGATCTCCATCACCGAGTGAGCCATCTCGATATACATATATTTGTGAGATCGACCATGGAACAAAGCTCTTCCCCCCAAGAATTACAAATTTTTTACATAAATTTAAAATGATATTTATATTTATATTTATATTTACATAGATTTAGATTAAGATTAAGATTTGGATGGAAGGATGGATAGATATTTTTATATATATTTATTGAATATTGAATATTGAATATTAAATATTAAATATTCTTGTGTTAAAAATAGATAAATGAATAAATACGAAATTTTAATATTTATCTCCATTCTTTTTGAGGAAAAATAAAAGGAAAATAAATAAAATAACAATTGATGTTTTCGGGTCATACGGGCTCCGAGGGAACGACACGTGGCACGTTCCCGCCGTATTAAAACCATAAGGGAAGCGACGGAGGGATTTTGATGCATATATATGGCAAGTGCGTGAGTGCATGTTGGGGGTGCCGGGGTGGGATCACCCTCGGGGTTGACACATTGTCACCCTACCACCACTACAAATATGTAGTGGTGGTTAAATAAACAGTCACCCAACCCGGTATACGGTGGATGGGAACGATCCCACCCCCATCACCCCTACCCCCACCCTTTTGTGATTTTTTTGGTGAATGGTCGGAATCATTCGAGCCTCACCCTCACGTGCGATGGGGAGTTTCGACCTCTCACGACGGGCGAAGCCGGGGTCATTCCCAAGAATCGGCATCCCCTTCACGATATGGAGAATATCACATGTTTTGACATATTCGATGTCTCGAACAATCGAATGTCTGCAACAATCACGATATGGAGAACATCACATGTTTCGACATATTCGATGTCTGCAACAATCACGACTCCGACATGATGATCTCCATCACCGAGTGAGCCATCTCGATATACATATATTTGTGAGATCGACCATGGAACAAAGCTCTTCCCCCCAAGAATTACAAATTTTTTACATAAATTTAAAATGATATTTATATTTATATTTATATTTACATAGATTTAGATTAAGATTAAGATTTGGATGGAAGGATGGATAGATATTTTTATATATATTTATTGAATATTGAATATAAATATCATGTAACATCATGGATTGATTGAATTGATCATGTTATGAAGTTTAGAGTATAACTTTACATGATAAATTGAGAAATTAGATGTTTGCTATTTTGTGAATGGATAAACACTTCACAATAAAGTACATATCCATACTTGTTAGGGTTAGAATAGCATATTTAAATTGTTGCAAAAATTGTAACTACTATTTTTATTATCAGTATAACAGAACACATTGTTTGGGGCGGTGATTCTCCATATGAGTGTACAGTAGAATGTCATTAGAATGCTTTTGGATATATGAATATCAAAATTGACATGTTGCACTAGAGCTTTCCATGAAGGAGATAAGGATATCACTCTTTTTAGTTTCTTGTCTAAATTATCTTGGATAACGTCCATACTAACCTAAAGAAAAAACGGTAGGGACACCTATGAAAGAGCAATCATGCGGATATCATCTTACCGTCCTTCATCCTCTACTTTGTTTCCTTCTGAAGAAGACACCAAGTCACAAATACTGACAAAAAGGTTTCCTGCTGCACATACAGTACATAGAGGTCGGATTGCAGCAACGCTACCGATTCTTGGACCTTACTGAAAGGAATCCAGAACAAAGTTAGATATTACTCCATCTGATCCAGTAAAACCAACAGTCTTATGAATTGTACGCACGAGAATATCCACTCTCTCGTTTCAGCGACGAGATTAGGTGTTATGGTAATACAGTCGTAGTTCGGACTTATCCTTCTCCTTGTTCAGATCCGGTTTTGTACATCGAGACTGGTGACATTATTGGCCTTAATGACCGGTGCGGTTGATGCTTGCTGTAGTGGTCCACCTATTTAAGTTCGCACGTCAATTTCATTGTTCAAAATTCTCTGGGCTCTCTTTAGAATCTTCAAAACTTTCTCACGCAGAGACTCAATCTCTTCCATCCTTCGTCTTATCGGATTGAATGGCTGCTTCTTCGGTGGTTTCCACGTCTTCGAGTGTTGTTCTTTGATCCTGGCTGTGACTGTGCTCGGGACTGATTGGAAATCTAGCTCCCATTTCCCATCAAATATCCGTCTCACTTCTTGGTTAGAATGCATTTTCAGTCTGTGGATGGAAGATTCTCATGAGTTTCGTCGTATCTCGAAGTATGCAGATTCCTCATAAGCTGTATGTGCTGATTTTCGCAACTATGCACTGTATATAAATCCATCTTCCTATGAAAGTCGGCTGTGAAGGATATAGTCTGATCCCAAAACTCTAAATTTCTTAGTAATTGGGCTACGCAAGCACTGGTCATAAATATTCTTCAGTGATCGCACCACACTATTTCCCGTGTCACTCGCGCCTCTCCTTCCCAAGCTTCCTGCAAGTTGGCAAACAGAGATATTATGTAATTCTTTCCAAAATCCGACCTCTGTGCGAGTATACGGCTAGACTCTGGGCGAGAGAGAAGACCATTCGAAAATCCACAGATTTGAACACTTCTTAATCGACTGGTCTTTTTTCGCATGGGACTCAAGAGTTTCATGAAACGACCTGTAAAGAGGTGAAGACCTACGCTGGCTACGGTCAGTCCCGCGTAAATCTCGAGTGTTCGCGTTAGAAATCTCCGATATCTAACGCGACCATTCGCTTCAACGTACTCTAGGCTCGTATACATTATATAAATTACTTTTCTTAAACTCAACTGAAAGTTTTGTGTTCGATTAGAAAATGATTAGACTAAGAGTTTATAAAATCATTTAGTTTTAGCTAGAAAAATCACATATTTCAGAATGCATGCTAAGACGAATTATTTATAGAATATTATCTGAAAAATAGATCACTTTCGACAATTAAGAGACAATATCGAAATAAGTAGTACATTCCAATAGACTCTATATATATAAAAAAGCTTTCAGGTTCGATATATGTGAAACAAGAATTTACATCCAACTATTCGAATAATTTTTGAGAATCCAAAAGTTCGTTTAATCAAATCTTAAATTTAGATTCAATCTATTTTGAAACCAATTTTATTGAACATTCCGATTACGAAATCATATTGACTAATAATTTAGTAATTTTCAAAACCTATCATTTTCATTGGTAGAATGTTGTAAAATGTTTAAAGTAAAATAAATGTATTCTTATACTTTAAAAAGTATCAGTGTAACACATAGATAGGTATGTGATTAAAATTTAAAGTGATATAACTTATATTCTTACTTCGTAAATCGTCTTATCGTCGATTTACCATAAAATTTGTGCATTTTTTCTGCTCATAATAAGTACAATCGCTAAAAATGATTATTATTTCAAAACGTTTGATCACAACTTATGTCTCACGCATCCATCAAGTAACTAACCCAGAATAGTTTATTAGTTTGCATATCGGATCAATTTTGACTCTGGTTTCATTCAAATAATCTATCTAACTCTTCTGAATAACTATATTGAAACTGCAATTTATTTGATATCACATAAAATCTTTCAGATCTGAATGACTAGCTTCCTTATTCGTATAGTATATAAGCCAGAGTCATAGCAATCTATATTGGAACCACCCCAAGACTGACAGAAAAGAAAACGCCAATGTTCCCGAATGCCTCAAACTCCACCTCTCACGTTCTTACATGCAAATTCCTAGGACGGGTGATAACAAGAATATCCAGATCCAGAATATGACTGACCGATCCAAAGTATCTTGCATCCAATAGCGGAGACTAAAAATTGTCATGCATATGTTAGAAGCGATAAGAGAACAAGAACTGTGCACCAATAAGTATATTACTATAAAATGGAGCACATTCTCTATGTCTGGTCTAGCCTCTTAGCGCATCTCCAAGGTTAGTGGATTAACGATATGTTTCTTACTAAATATATTTTTAGTAATGTCTCGAGTTGGATAAATATAACATCAACTCGGTCCTCGGTCCTCTTTGTACGTATAGGGATCAACACAATCGCTCTCTCCAAATTGCATGACCGGTCTCTCCCATCAAGCAATGGCATAAATCTCATCGTGACTCGGATTGTGTGAATATACACAATACTTTGTCATCTAGAATTCAACCATAAACATGACACGTTGCCAACCAACAGTACAACAAGGATGAATGTAGATAACATGATAGAATAACTTACTTTTTCTAAAAGAATGTACCCTAGACTATTCTGTCCAATATCACATGTATATTATACAGCTTATCAACAAAAAACGATACTATAATATGAGATAAAACAGTTAGTGACATAAATTACAGTATTCAACCTTGATGTCATCGAATTTTAAATTGTTACTAGTTGTCAATATGAGAAAAGAATTTGATTCTCATTTGCTCTACGACAAAGAGATGAGATTCAAATGTTCTGAATATGAGCCATGCCCGCCGCGATGAGTTATGACGTTGATTGCTACTCTAATGAGAAACACTTAACTTTGCTAAGTAGCAGATACTCGAAGAAAGTGACAAAGCCCGCTGGTTTTGTTCTCCTGTCCAACAAAACCTAAGACACATGCATAATCAGCTCACGTAATGCCGAACTAAACGGAATACTGACGAACAAGGAATCCCCGAACCATCAGTTCGGAGTTCGAAATTAGCTTGTTCTTTGAAAGTCGAACGAGGGAAACCATACGAGTTCGATGTGACAATAGCCACGAACGTGTCCAAACACCTGTCAATTTTGGAAGAGGGCAATTGTCGAAGACATTCTAACCATCACCCGACGTGACCGAGAAATTGTCCTCGTTTTTCGTTTTGCCTCGAATTCGAACAAGCTGATTCGCATCATCCATCTGGCAAGTAACATCCAAGAACCTGTGCGATTTGTGTTCTCCACCACTGGTCAGTCGATGCTATTTTCGGGACTCGTACTCCTGTTCTTTAAATTTGCTGCCGAGCGTCTTGGTGAATGCTTGCTTGATTGCATTGCATTGTGTAGCACTGCGTTGCTCTGTGCGAGTTGGATATTTCTGATTTCTGATTCGTGTGCTTACGAAGTCTGTCGCGATGATTTTCATCAGCAGCGGTGAGCAGTGGAAAGTGGCAGAGGGAATATTTTTGAAACGGTTGACTGGAATGTGGCGAGGGATCAGGAAATGTCTTCCCTCATCCAAGTCATCTTCTTCCCTCAGCCGCCTCGGCAGGGAGTACGAGCAAATCGACAACAACGAAAGCGGATGAACTTCACGTAGCTACGATCCAAACAGCGAGGAGTGTAGTTCTGCGTGGTTCTGTAGTTGTATTGCCGGAGCGTTAGGATAGAAACGCAGTAGCTACGATTCAAACAGCGAGTAATGTAGTTCTGCGTGGTTCTGTAGTTGTATTGCCGGAGCTTTTGAGATATAAAAGCAGCAGTGTCGCAAACCTGAAGGTTTTATTGTCGCAATTTATTGTGGTCTAGCGGTGAACGTTTGGAACACGATGGTTAGATCACTTTTGGTGTCTGAATGGAGCATGAGTCGACAGAGAATTGGTGTGTTTCTCAGTAAAGGTCATTCAGCGGAACTGATGTATAACCCGTGCCTGTAATCTCAAAGGAGAGCAGAAATGGCGAGCCATGTTCTCCATTTCTTGCAGTACAGAGCTCCAGCAAAGCCAATTGCTGAGCTCGAGGGCGAATGCATTGCACCATTTCTGCCGTCCCTGACACTTGCAGCTGCGGACTCACCTGCTCTGATTCCTCATCTGCTACCTTCTCTGTATTCGCACATGCAAGTTCCTAGAGCTCTTGCATATGCTGGATTAGATTACGTCGAAATTGCGCAGTCAGTGTTGGAGGCGGAGGCTGCTACCGGTGGTGAGAACCCCGGGAGCTTTCCTCCCGAGGAAGAAGAGGAGGAGGAGGACGATGGGAGTAAGAAGATGGTGTGGAAATGGGATTCAAATGAGGGCGAAGGTGACGATCCGGATGAATGTCACGCCTTTGAGGTTGCTGATGAGGTATATTGGTTTTGTCTTTAGTTACTGAAAGAGTCGTTTGTTCTGAGGTCACAAGAAGTTTTTTCTGTACCCTCACCTTCGGAGTAAATCCGGAAGACCTGCATTGATTTCGATGGTCATGCTTTGGATATTCTAGAAAGAAAGAGCGAAGATTGCAGTTCTTTCCGTTCGTCAGAGAGCCCGAGAGTTTAGCACTAAAGGAGTTTCACAGCTGCATGAGAAGGACGAAGAAAGTATCTGGAGCAATGACGCTTATTTATCAGAGCTTCTTTGTTTACTGCCGATTGCTGTGTCACGTTGTCCAGCCCTTCTAACTCCAGGTCTCTTACTTCCCGACTATTTGGTTTCATTTTACCTATTGTGAATGAATTATGCTATCGGCTTCATCTACTGTACGTGGTAGCTCTTCGGAGGAAATATAATTGTTGTATCATGATTCGAATTTATGACTTTCTCCATGATATGCAGGAGAGACTGACGCTGCCTTACATTTCTGGCTGTGTGATTCGTCATTTCAGAGCAGTTGGTGAAAGGGTTGCTGACAGCAAGCAACGGATGTGCTTTATTGGTGACTACTTTTGCCAATAATCCAGCAGAGGCTGAGAGAGGAGCTCTCGCTCTGGCAAATATTCTAACTCGACACAGGGATGGGAATGACACCCAGCCCGGGAGTCCTCATGCATCTGAATCCACATCGGGTGCGAAAGCAGGGGGAGGTCCAGGTGTCATACCCCTTTCCCGCCAGCACAGCGGGGCTCTTTCGCAAGAACACCTTCAATCGCTTAGTTCTTCATATTCTCGCATGGTCATCCGGACACTCTCTAGTTTTTGTCATGTCAGTCCATCTTTTGCAGGGATTTGCAGGGATGCACTCGTGAAGACATGCACTTTAGCAGATATGGCTCTGCAGATAACCATGGATATTTTTCAAGACGAGCTTCAGTTTCTTTCGAAATTGATATTTTCCAAGGAGAAAACCTCTGTGTGGATTCTCTCTATCTTCGGGTCTAGTCAAAAGCATGGAGAAAGCCATCATGCTCCTCCTCCTCTATATGGCAAAGAAAAAGATACTTTTTCTGATCATAGAAGCTCCTCTGCCTCCCAGTCAAGCGGTAAAGGAGTTGCTCAGAGAGTAAGAGACACTTTGTTAGCAGATGCTCGGTTAACTTGGAAGAAGCAGGGTTGGAGTGGACGTCTCCATGCTCATCTGAGATTGTATTGTGTATTAATACGTGTTGGTGATCTACAACCAGGTCACGAAGAGGTATTTTTCAACTGTCTATGCTGAATTACCTAGTTGTCGACCTGGGCTGTACAAGTAAACTGTGGGTACATTGGATGTCGTTGCCCGTGAGTTGGTTTATGTTGATGGAAAACATGAATTGTGTCATAAACTCTTGCATTCCAAGGTTAGATATAACTGCTGCATTCTCACAATATACTTCGGTAGTTGACGTTGTCGCCCCTACATAATACTTTAGAAACGACATCATCAAGTTCGAACTGTTCATCTAAATTGTAACTATTCGTGCCTCAACACTGACTATGAGGAGACACCACGGAATGAACTTTGAACATGCTCGACGACTAGTGCAGTTTCTGTGTGTGTTGAATATTGTCCACGACCGTGAAGTTGTTGCTTCCACAGCACTGGAAGTGAAATCAGTGGCGGCTTTTTGTTCGTTTGCAGGTCGAATTCTGGTTGGGGGTTCTGGGGGGATCCAAGGAGTTCCCGAGTGAAAATACAGTTACCAATGGGGATGATGATCAGACTAGTAAGCATAAGTTCGTCTGTGAACGTACACTGGAGCTTGGTATCTCGTTTGTTTGTTTAATTCCCGGGTTATCTGGACCCGTAACAAAGACAATGCTTTATAAGTGCGTTGAAAACTTGCTTCGAGCAGCCTTGGGCAATGCTCCCTGTTCAGCGTCTACTCCGGAAGTTGAGCTTGCTGTGTGGGTAGCAGTGCAGCTTTTGCAACGGCGATTTATAGATGTTGCCTCGGTATTTTTATGCGTTGCCTTTCCTTGTATGCTTTGACGTAGACTTCTGAGATGATTTGTGGTTATCTTGTACAGTAGGCAACAAATTTCCTATGTGTAAAGTCCGTTTTGCTGATCCACAACACAGAATAGAATTCCATAGCCATGTTTATTGAGCATACTCTTGAACTTGGTGCATTTAGTTGCTTATAAATTTGCAGGCTCTACCTTTCTGACTCTGGTTGAATGCGACCTGTAGTTCGTGAGAGAAGCTCTTGGTGTTCAAGTCACCGTACACAATGCTATCATGAAGGATCTCGCGGATGCTGCTGTGGCTGCTGGAGTGGTATCTGATCCTTTCACTGCCGCCAGTGCTGCTGCAGCACTTCGACCGAAGGGTCCAGTTCCATCCCCCAAGTACTATCTTTAAACCTTTCCTTTCTGATCTTCTCAGATGAACATACTTGATCGATTCTTATGAGGAACTGCAGTAGTCTAATTCGGATTGTGAGAATTGACTACTTACTATTTGCAATTCAGGAGGCGTACCTTATACGGTCTGAAATGCCTCGAGCAGCTGCTACATTCTACGACCTTTGCACGTTGTGCCGTAGACATCTCTGACACAGTTATGCACTACATTTCCATTGCTGATGAACCCATCCATCCAGTAAGTATGAGATTGCCAGACTTCTCTGTTTGTTTACATCGCTTTGATGGTCCGAGTTTCTTCGTATTAGCATTGCTCAGTAGCGTGCGGTATCTAAAGTCTCCAGACTACACCAGGTACATACTAATGAGTAGAGTGTTCTTTAAGGTGAGTTTTGAGGGATCTTTTCGTTTCCCCGCACATGTAGCCAAATACCATGACTCATGATCGTATCTTATCTATGCTTATGCCAGGCTTTTCCTTCCATCATTCAAGGTTACACTGAGTTGTCAGTTTCTGTACCTAGAGCAAGGGTAGGTGTTCATCGGTTTCGCATGCGTCCTTTATCTCGGGCCTCGTTAATTGGAGCTTTGGCCCCGGGACTTGCAATACTGAGAGATCACAAGTTTAGCGCGAAGCTATCGCAGTCAGGCAAAGTGTTTGGCAAAAGAAGTCGTGAAAATGCGCACAGAGAAGGATCTATGAAGTTTGACGGAGTGGGAGCAGGAAATTCTCTTGCAACAACTGCGCTCGTCACTTTCTACATTCTTTGCCGAGAGTCTATAGCAAGGAGCATGGGAATTGCTGGGGGCTCTAACTATGAAGGGTCTTCTATTGAGATTGAAGCCAGTGAAGATGGAGGGTGGTGGCTGGATCTTCTTCATGGGTTACCTCTTCGAGAGCTGCTAATGTACATGGAAACAAACTGGCCAGCTTATGAGAATTTATTTCCACAGGTAATCAATTCCTCCCTAAGCTTTACTGTTTCACGCAGGATAACTGAGGATAATTTGTTCTTTACTCATTTTAAAGCCGAAGCCATTGAGGATTACTTTCACTCTCATATTCTCGATAATTCAAGGAATTAGTTGAAAAACCCTGGTAATTTTTTAGTAATGCGATGAAGGTCTGCAGAGTTGTTGGAGCTAAACTTAGAACTATTGGTGTGGCAGTGGCTCGGTGTGGCTTCAATCGTTTTTCCAGAAAGATTTACGGCCTATACACTTCTCCTGGACTTGGAAAAAACGAACACAGCTTTTCAAACCTTCACCAAAGACGTTCCTGTTACAGAGGATTTGCAGTGGGTGGGACCTCATGAAACACCTTCTGTTACGCCCGAGAAGTCTCAAAGGGACGTGGTTGGATCCGGGGTAGAGTCTCCAGGGCCAATGGACATAGATTGCCAAAGGGCTGAAGCAGTCTCTAGTCTGCCGAGTCTTCCAGCTCAAAGCCCAGTATCTTGTTCTGGTGACGGGACGGTTCCTGTAAAGACAGATCGAAAGGGTTTCTCTCTGGAAGTTGTTGTGGCAACAATGAAGGCTGCTATGCATAATCCACTACCCGCCTTGAGGATTTTGCGTACGTTTTCTCTGAGCGCTCATCCTGGTGCCGGCGGTGATTCGACTGAGGAACTGGAGAAGTTTGCTGGTATAGGAGTGGAGTGGCCTCTTGAAGTTGCCATGATGAAAGAGTTGGTACCTCTCTTGCTCGATCCCACTTGTCCACGATGTCTGCAGGACCAGTTTGGCATCTGGTGGCGTTCCCTGCCGTCGTCAGCTTTAGAGCGTTTGGTGCCCGTGCTTCTGGATCTGCTCAACGTTCCAACTATAAATTCTCCGGTCGATCATCCCAAATTTACACCCGGCAAACAACTTTCAGAGAAAACAAAAAATAAGGTGATGCGACTTTCAACAAGTGGACTTGCTGAAGAGCCACTTAAGCTCATTGCTTGTGATATCAAGGTGTTCCGTTCCCCTCTGCTGGGAACAGTTCTTGATCTCTTGCAAGAGATCCTTGTTGCCAACCGACGGACATGTCAGATGGCTGCTTCAGATGGTGGAAGGGACGGTGTTAAACGAGAGGAAGTTGCTGCAGCTCTGATTGCACAAGACAGGTTTGGCCCTGCAAGTTCCCGCTTTGTGTTCATTCTTGTGCTATAAGTTGTGTCGTCTCTGAAAGCAACGTGAATCACAGATGTAGGGTTGACCTACAGTGTGAAACAATTCTGTAGCTGATTATGCTTTTGTCAATGGCAGTGCCATCTGCCAGATTCTCCTGGAGGCCTGCTTGCCAAATCCAGATCTTGGGGATGAAGAGAGGCCGGGCCCTTTGTTCGAAGCCCGATGTCTGATTCTGGCTACTATCTGCTCGCTTATTCACAGGAGTCCTCTGCTACTCAAGCTCCTGCATTTCCAGGTTGGCCATCTCGGATAAGCCCAGCTTGGATCCACCTCTACCTGAAACTTTTCGATTCCATGAAGAGGGAGAATAAGAGTAATGTTTCCCAATCGTCACATTATTTGCCTCATTCCGGTTGTATTCTATTGGACTTAATAGTAAGAACTTATTTGATTCAGGGTTATGATCAAAGGCTCATACCAGTGATGGTTGAGGGAGTTCCAGCAATGGTTCAGTGTTTGGAGTTTATTGGGGAACTAATCCAACAGTCTCAGCAGCAGCGGCAGGTATTTGCTGCCGTACTTACAGCTCACTTGACGAGCCTGCATCCTAATTTGCCACAAAGCCTTAGAGCTGCCCAGCAGGTATGTAACATCATTTTCTCTTGTCAAAGATCTTCATCACAATCCCCTGGAGGCAAATTCATCTCGGATCGTTTGCACACATTTTTTTATGGCCCCTCTAGTAAATCTGGATATCAAACAATCCTTCACCTGGAACACGACACTCATATAGTTGGCTGTTTCTCGTCTGCATGGACTGTCATGCATACGTATTACTGCCTTTTGTTATTCTTGTAGCGTGGGTCTAAAATCTCTCAAGACAATTCTTCCAATTTTCCCATTTTGACTATTTTGCTGAAATGGTCAGGAGGGCAATACTTTAGATTACTTCAGGAAAGATTTAAATTAATATCAAATTAAAGTCTGCTTATTAGTATTTGCCTCTTATAGCCTGAAGACCTTAGACCAGATTTTTATAATAACTGGCTCGACAATGAACTGAGAAAATTGTAGTTGACGTCCTGCCTACTGAAAGTTCAAATTTGCAGGTTGTTGCCCACGTGGCACAAGTACGGAGCAAAGTTGCTGGTTGTGCCAGATTCCTTCAAGAAGTCCTCAGTTCCGTAGCTCAAATTGCAGTAACTTTTCCTTCTTTGGCACCACAAGTTGTACTTCTTTTGCAAAGTTGTGCTCAGGCCGGTGGTCCGCTGAGGCGATTCGGTCCTCCAAGGGATGCTGGCCTCCATGAAGCTGCTGTTTCTGCCTTCAAACATCTGATTCAGAGCAGATTGCTGCATGGGCGTCCTCCACCTTCAGAGAACTCGATCCCATCTTCCTCAACCTAAAGTGCCGTGTGAAGTAGCGCCGGAGAGTGAATTGTACAAAAAATCAAGTTTTAGGCAAACTTAGGGAAAGTATCACCCTGTCCTTTTTTCTGTATTCTAAAATGTTCACTGTCAGCTATGTACTACCCATCTGTTTATCAAATAGTGAACTGCTTAACTCATACTGTAGTTAGATGCTACCTACATGTGCTGAAAGTGTTTCTGTCGATCTAACGTCTTGTGTGGGTAGAATGCAGAATTATCGTTCTGCCGACCATCTCGACCTACTCTACACTCCCATCTAGTTTTGCCATGCCATATTGCATAAATACAATAAAAAAGAAGGAAGCGGAGCATGGTTCACAACATGATGCATGGCGTAGCAGTTTTGCATGTTCATATTTATGAATTCGAATGTCCTATGGCAGTACTTGTGCAATAATATGTACGAGAACTGCATCTACACGCAAAACTAGTGAAGTGATCATGTCAAGTGTATGGGACTAAAAACTGTTGATCGAAATCTTTTAAACATACGAGACTCGTGGGTCCCAATGAACAGACACTTGAGAAAGCTCATAACCTTCTAATTAACCTTCTTTTCACGATATCTCATTATCCCCGAAGGCTTACATCTTTATGGTACGATTATCTAAATAGAAAGATATCGGTGTGCGGATGATTTTTGTAACTTAGTACTAAAGCCCATTACTATAAGTGAGTCAGCGTACACGATATTAGTCTTACTACAACATTAGATGAAGGGAAGCTCGTATAAGTTCCACCTTGCGGAAGAGCGCAGCAAATACAAGAATAGTGAGTATTGTAGAGGCCAGCGGTACTCCATCACCCAAAGTGACGAAACGAACTGAACCGAACGTCGCACGTAAATAGCTGTTGCATGAAGCTTTTGCGATTTGCTACCTGTGGATTATGAAACAATGCCATGTTTCACCATAAAACCCATGACCTCAAATACTCCAGATACATTATTTCTAGATAAACATATTTCAGGAAATTAAAGTCAAGTTTTCTTAATGTGCTTACATAATCAAACATTCATTTCATTCCCATGAGGTTATTGATTGACATTGTATGCTTTCAGATTCAAGGACTCAGTGTTCCGACTTTTGACCACTTCATCTTGGTTCAACAGATTCTGTTATCTGTTTGAAAAGGTAGTGTGCAATAGAATATTCACAATCTTTTAATCACAGTAAATTGCAACGAGATTATGTCTTCTGCACGTAGAAACCAATCAAGTATGAATTTACAATTTTCGCGCAGTAAACCTCTTATTATAGCTTGAAACAACTCCAAATTTATTTGGAGAAATTCAGGTCAAACCGTTCCCTATCTGTCAGCGTTGACGTAAATCAAAATAATGATATAATAGTTTACATGGTTGTTAGAAAAACTCATTATCTAAAACTGCAAGAAAAAATTTGGTCAAAATTGAACAATAAAGACAGATCAAACTTCAGAGAATGCAATACATAGTGTCACCACCAAATGCTACTAGTTACTAGCCTTTTGACCATATATGCTCCTCCCTCTCATTCTTCCTAGTTTACCTTCAAAGCAACCATAGGTTATATCCTCATGCCAATGTTCATTGTCGAGGATACGACCCACTTAATGATTGGCAATATTTTTTATGCTCAGTGAATCATAGAATCTTAACTCAAACTCCATCTCAAGGCAGTTTGCCCCATTACAAAAATTTTCCACCTGAATATCATGCGCATCAGCTACAAGATCTGAACTGAATGCGATGAGATTTCAGAATGGTGAACAGCGGCTACGACCACCGAAAAGAATATAAAGGTCGGCTGCATATTAGTTTTAAAAGAAACAGTAGTTAGGAACACCTCTCGCCCTTTGACTGAACAGGGACACAAGGCTTCATAAATCGGTACAATTATTTCCAAAAAAAAAAACATTAAAAAAACTAATCTCATAATGTTCCTATTCTAAAGAATATGGAGACGGCTGCGACCAATGGGACAAAGGAAAAGCAGATGAAGGGGACTGGATGCGTGAAGAGGGGATGTTCTGGAGAAACATATTACTGGTGGGAGCAAGATTTAGATGACTTGCCAGATATTCGAAGAGAGGAGGAAAAAATAAAATCCAAAAAGTGAATAGTCCACGCTACATTATAAACTCATGAAACCGAGGTCTAAAACCGTAGAAGAAACATAGAATATTATTTCCGCTTCACTCGAAAGCCATGAAGCAAGCACTGTAGGTATGGGAAGAGTGGATAGAAGAAGTTTCAGAAATGTAATGACATAAAGTGGAAGTTTGGAGCCATTTTGAAACCACCGCCTGTTGAAGACATAGTATAACGTCATGATTATCTTTCCTCTTTCCTGGATTTGAGTGCAGCCTTAGGTCTGCGGTCTCACCTCCATACCGTGGTCAATGTGGTCCCTGTAGATTCAATTGAAGATGACCAACAATCAATCTCATTATTGAGATACAAACATGCCTAGTCCCCACTGATAGAGGTCGGTGTAAATGTGTATTTACTTCCTTGGTGGTAGGTCAAAATGGATGGAGCTATTCCATGTTTATACTCCAAGAAGGGCCTGCAAATGTGTTTATTGGTAGAAGAGTACATTGTACCGGATTATATGCCTTCCGGGCCAACGAACTAGTATTCCGAAATTTAAAATATATTCTGTTCCGAAAATTGGTTCGAGTACAACAGGTACTCGGGAGAAAGCGAGTAGAGTTGCGCAATTTGCGTCAAACCTTTCCACTTTCCAGAAGAGGAATGTGATGCGTTCACGCTACACGATTTCCATGATCTAGTTAGTGATGTCCGAGCATGGCCTTCTGGGGGATCGCAAGGCACACGTCGATAATGACTGCCTCGATCCGAGAATATCCCAAACAAACGACGATCGGATATCTAACGTGTCCTGTCTCAGTCTACAAGCGGAAAGAAAAGAAAAGAAACCTTTACAAACAACGTAACGCTTACGGGTAGTCGACCGTAGTGAATCGCCGAACCGCGTGAAAATGAGCAATAGCCCAGTTAAACTACGTCTCTCCCCCCTCGAAATACAATCGATCAACCTTCAGTGTGTAACGCTTAAGGGTAGTCGACCGTGGTGAGTCCCCGAACCGAGTAAATATGAGCATCAGACCGCTTAACCTGCGTCCCACGGCCCCCTCGATATACAATGGATCAACCTTCACTTCGTAACGCTTAACGGCAGTCGACCGCAGTGAGTCCCCAAACCACGTGCTCATGAGCACTAGGCCGCTTACCTTGCGTCCCAAAGCCGCCTTGAAGTACGACCGATCAAAAGAACATTCAAAATGGGAGGTCGCGGAAAGCAGAGGCCGCATTGAAAACGTTCAGCGCGCTGAAAGCAGACGCGGACGGCTAACGTATACGCGGGGAGGTTCGGAATGCTCGGGCTCTACGAGCTTTTGTCTTTGCTACGATGTTCAGGCGACGGGACAACATCTTGATGGCGAGGAGAGGAGAGGAGATGAGAGGAATACTCTGTAGAGTCAGTGTACACCCGAAGGACAGTGTGCGATTATTGGATTTCGAAATGTACAGATCTAATGACGCTTGTGCAATCTCCGTGGAAATGTTTTGATGGTTGACGCCTGTGTGTCTTCTAAAGCTATGGCGGACGTTGCTCGCTACCGAGCCAACAGTCCGCCATGTTTATTGCCAGAAATTTCTTGCGGATTGTCAACTGCCACTCACTATGCAGCGGCTCAAAAGTACTCTACCTACGCAACGACATATTCTTCTGTCCTTCCAGACTTTCAATCAAAACTTAGATTGAGCAACCACACTCCCAATATAGCTTCATGAGGAAAGGAAGCACGTACCGTGACTTCCTAAAAAATATGCCATTAAAGAGAAGCCTTTTACGTTGGAGACCGGCTAACTTACAGCAGGGCAAGTTTTTTGCTACATGTGTTCGACTTTGACTGACCAGAGAAATTATTAAAAATTCCATTCACTATTCCTCCATATGATGATGCTACCACAGTTTCTCGTTCCACTTTTGCAGATTTTTTAAATTCTAGCTTGGTGAGCTAAATTCTCCACTAGGAAAGGAATGTTTCTGAATAAGAGACCTTGTCACTTTTGGAGCAAGATTCTCATCTACAGTGGACGGGATGGTGTTCACAGTTACAAATTACTTTCATGTGACCGAAAGCGAGAGCGAGAGCAGAGTGCGGACCTCTCGCAGGACGAGAAGAATGGAGAGTACAGGAAAACAATACCCTCGTTCACGGCGTAGTGTTAAATACGGCACTTTGCTCGTTTGGTTTGACTTACCATAACGCATTCAATTTGTCACACTTCCCGAGAATTGACAGGTAACTGACACACATTTCTTCTCCCGTAGTCTCTGACCTTCATATCTGCTCACAGTGTGATATATCTACGACTGTTTATTTCTCCCACACTTCCCGTTGAACGAGGGAGCCTTGTCCTTCTCATGCAGCTGATGCATCTCGCGATCTCAACTCATGCCCATTATTTGCTGACGCACGTCGCTTCATGTGTACCAGGCTGCTGGCCTTCTATGAGTATGTGGTGTTCGGCGCGATGGACAGCCTCTCTAAATACAGAACTCGAGAGTCCGATTGTCGTATTTCGTTTTCAGAAAGTTCCGTATTTTCAAAAAAAATAAAAAGTCTTTGTTATCTAGGTGGGTTTACTAGAGAAACTAACAGAGTCACCCAATTAAAACTTTGAATGAAGGTTTGTGAAAATTTCTTTGTTGATGTAGGTGGGTTTATCCGAGAAACTAGAAGTACTCAATTAAAAATTTGCGGTGATAATTTGTGACCATGCCTTTGTTAATCTAGGTGGCTGGTACTCAACAAAAACTTAAGGGTGAGACATGATAAGTTCAACCAGGCAGGTTCTACTCTTTTGACTCATTGCTTACCTCAAGAATTTGTAGCTTTGAAAACACTAGATCTTGTTTACCTTGTTCTAAAATATTAAGATAGTCTCAAACCTTTTTGGAAACAAGGATAAAATAATGAAAGAACACAAACATCTTTTGATTTTTGTGAACTAAGAACATTATGAAGTCTTTTAAAATATTAAGATAGTCTCAAACTTTCTTGAAAACAAAAAAACATGGATAAAATAATGAAAGAACACAAAGAGCTTTTGCTTTTTGTGAACTAAGAACAATAAGAAGTCAATGTTCTGGGTTCACAAAAATCTATTGACTGAAAAGTCTTATTCCAAGTATTAAGAATAGATTTAATTCACTCATGGAGTTTGGAGAATTAGCTTGTCCACTTTCGAAAGGTGTAAAGTGATTAATTTAGTGCTAAAATGGGAAAAATATATTCACAAATAGAAAATAACATCCATTTCTTTATCGAAGGTGTATTACATTGCCGTCAAATTCGACCGAAAATATGAGATTTTAAAATATGAGATTTTACGTTAGGTTAAGATTCGGCCGAAAACTGTGAAGTTCCGTATATTCCATATTCTTTTTTTCAAAATTATCCTTATTTTGTTGAGATAAGTAACATACGGAATCCGCCCTATATAAAGAGGCCTTGCGATGGACAATGGGATCAATTTGTTGAGATAAGTAACATACGGAATCCGCCCTATATAAAGAGGCCTTGCGATGGACAATGGGATCAATTCATACATGGACGCTTACACTGTTCGGGTACGAACACCATATGATATAATGTTTCTCGTTGTTTTTGTGTTTTTATAAAATATATATAGCATGTCCGTAGTTATCCTATATAGATTGTGAAATATAATTCAACATAAATTAGTAACTTAAGACGGAAACTAACAAAGTTTGACATAAAATTGTTGCATATATTCAAGAACTTGACAACTTTGATATTTCATATATTACGCTATATTAAGAATCTTAAATTTTTTTTAATAATTTTAAAAAATTGCATATCCTTAATGAAATAATATCCTGAGATACGCCTTTGGATTTATCAGTTTTCTAATAAATATAATTTATTCTTGATTTTATTTTTATTTGATACTAAGCTTAAATTAAATTAAGTTCTAAGTTGATTTTAGAGATTTTGACTTTTGATACTATTAAATGTATTAATGAATGTGATTCAACAAATATATAAATTTTAAAAGATTATGCATAAATTGTAATTTGATTGATATGATTTTTAGGAAAAAAAAGCCAAAAATGAAAAAATTTTTGAATTATAAAATGAAAATTGATCACGTCATATGAAAATCAATAATATTTATCATATAGTGTTAAGTAAAATTATTTCAAAAAAATAGATATTTCAAAATTTGCTATTTTTTTAATGTGATACCTTCATGAATTTATTTGATGACATAAATAATAAAATAATATGATTAGATCACACAAATTAAATCTATTGATAGATACTTATCATTAAAGATAATCATTTTAACTTTTTGTTGATTTCTTCTATTTTTTTTAGTTCCACAATCAACTCTTGACAGTTGATATATTTATATTTAATTTTATGTCTTTGCTATTTTAAATATAATCTTGCATAATCAATAAATCAATTGTTTTATATATTTTTAGCTAGTAAAATTATTTCAATTACTTTGATTTTGAGTGAGTAGATGACATTTTTTTGTCTTTGAGAAAAACTAGCTATTCACTTAATAAATTTTGGGTGTAAAGAATTTTCGTTATTATGGATTTTATGCAAATTTTTTTGATCTATCATTATAAATCATGAATATCTTAATTTATGTGTTTTTTTGTTAAGTTTTCAATAAAATTTTACATTTTAAATTTCATATTGTGTAAAAAATCATAATGAAACACATTATTTTATTTTATGAGTTGATTTTGTTCTAAAGTTGAATTAAAATTTTGACTTTGATTTCATAAATTAAATCAATTTAACAGATCAAATTGTACAAAATTGTATTTACAATACAATTTTGAACTGATGAGAAGTTTGTCAGGTGAATCACAAAAAAACAAGAATCCACGAGCATACACAAGCATATGTAAAAACGGTTACACAAAAGATATGTGATTTGCCATTGTCGCCTACATCCAGGTAAAATCAAAATTTGTTTATAGATTAAAACCTAAGAAGGTTGTCAAGAGAGTTTGCTAGTTTTTATCTGAAGTGACTGTTTAATCTGAATCTTAATCAAAATTAAACTACCTAAGTCAAAATAAACAATTATAGTGACTAACAATCTACTCCTTAATTCATTTTGTGTAGAAATTATAAAATAAAATCTTAAACACATAAATTATTATTTTATGTTTATAAATTTTTTTAAGTGATCATATTTTATTTGGTTGATTAAATTTTTGTATAAATTTTTTGTAAATTTTATCTCAGTTTTTTTTTTTTAAAGCTTTTAAAACAATTTAGAGAAAAACAGCCTTGTTCTTGTAGATTTTAGTGTGTTAAGATAGTTAAGTTTTATTTTTGTATGAACAATTCAAATTTATTGATAAATTATATGAAAAATCATTAAGTGATATTTTTGATATTTACACATATATAAGATATGTACAAAAGCAAGCAAGACTCAAATATTAAATTTTTTATAATTTTTTATTTATTTATGTTATATATTGACATATATAAATAATATATGAAATTTGAAAAAAAATTTATTAAAAAATAATAAATTAATTTTTTTTAGATTTATAGAAATTTTCTATGAAATTTTGAGTATTATATGAAAAAAATATTATTGAAATAATTTATTTAAAATATTTTTTGATTTACATTTGTTCAGTTTTTGTAAGATGAAAAATACATGATTTGTTAGGTTTGTGACAAACACACGCAATGAAACTCAATAAAAAAATCAAGATATACATTTACTAGATTGGACATATATCTGTTCAACTTTTTCAGTGCTAGAGCAATATTCGATCTTGTGTACATTGTCAAATATATGAGCTACAAAGGGCTTTGTCATAGGGAACACATCTTTGACATCTTTTCATTTTCAATTTTTTTGGTTGGACATTGAGCTGCAGAGATGTTGAATTGTGATGCCAAAGGAGTCCATAATTATTTAATCTTACGTGTATCTCTCAAGTACATGTTGAACATACTTGACTTGACTCAATCAAAAATTCTTCTTCACCAAATCTCTATGAATGTACATCGATAATATTTTCTTTGACTTCCAGATCTTTCACATTGAATACACACTTCAATTGGTTTTTGCATTTCTCAATGTCTTCTTTGCCAAGATGAACGTGTCATCCACGTATAGTACTAGAATAATAAGATTGAAAATTTTATTATTCATTATTTTCATGTATTCTTATAGATCATACATACTTTGTGAAAAAAACCTTCTGTCTTCATGAACTCGTCAAATCGCGTATTTCACTACCTAGAAGTTTGTTGCAATTCATATAGTGATTGCAGCAATTTACATACCAACTTCTCTTAACCTTTCATCTCAAAGCCAACTGATTGTCTCAAGTAGATATTTTATTCTAAATATGCATAGAAAAATGCTGTAACTATGTACATCTGATCCATAACAAGACTAAATATCATAGCTAGTGCACATACCAAACGAGTTGTAGCATATTTTGCTACAAATTGAAAAAACTTCGTTAAAGTTCACACTTTTCTCCTACGTGAAACCTCTAGCCATCAATTTGGCTTTGAAGATTTTCTTCTTGTCACATCAAGAGATTGCTAAGTACAACGGACATTGTGACTAACAACTTTGGAAAAGGTAAATGAAGAGGAAGTTGAAGGATATTGACATGATGTTGAGAGCAAAATGTGCTACCTTCAACGTTAGCAAATAAAAAGACCATCAAGTATTGGTCATGAGTATCATCATTTTTCATCTATAACCTTTGATCTTGAAGCAGGTGAAAAAATATGACGAGGTAACTCAACTGTTCAAGACTTTTGAACGTCAATTTCATCACAAAGAACTGAGAAACAGTTTGTATGTATCTTTAAAGCTCATGAGATATAAAATAAAAGATTATGGCACCAAGATACATAATCATATCCAGGCATTTGATGATATTGTAATAGATTTGAAGAATCTTGACGAGGATATATCTGATGAGAGAAAAGCTCTCCATTGTTTTAGTTCATTGTCGACATTTTATTAATCCCTATAACGTGTTTTGCTTTGTTGAGATAACATATCATCACAATGAAGGTTGTAAGTGCTTTGTTGACGGATGATCTATATCAGAAAATGATGATATAATCTACTTTTTTCACCTTTTCTGGTACGGCATTAAATGTGATTCAAGTTCAGTCATATTCAAGGAATGACAAGGATGGAAGATGTTTTGGATCCAAGACTAGATTCAAGTTCAAGGTATAAGATCCCTAAGAGGAATATTTTGATGTGCTGGTGATGTGGCAAGAATGATCACGCCAACAAGGACAGTCACGTGAAGATTAAGGCTGATGATTTTCCATTGTCAAATGTGACGAAACATTTTGACTAGGAGAAAAATGATTTGTTGGATGATGACATATGATGCTAGACGTATGTTCAATGCAATTCACTTGAGGTTTTTTGTGATATACAAATTTTAGAAAATGCTTATATTTATCACGTATATTACATTAGACTTTTATATAAAAAAAATTCTATGTCAAATGGGTTAGTGCTTATGGAAAATGATCAACCCTATAAGATTGAGGATGTTAAATCTATGAAATTCGCATGTTTGATGAGGTCCAACGTGCATTGACCTGTAATCTCCGAGTTGATTGTCACGTAGATCTATCTCAGATGACTTTGTGAAAGTTCATCATGATTGTAGAAGGTAAAGTTTTTCAACTTGACTATGTTCTAAAAACCTTTTCACACAAACTTTTCACTCATTGAAACAAATCCTCATACAATGAACTCTCAAAATTTGCTAGAGAGATTATTTTTTATCTCTCGACTTATATAAACATGAGATCTAATCATAATAACAAATGATAATTATCAT